CGTCCGCCCCCTCATTTCATTTATTCGCCAAAAAAACGAATTAACTGCAAAAATGGGGGAATTATTGCGTATTTGAGAGAGTGGGTATTTTCAAACAGCACACGAATCAAGCAAAAATGGCAAGCTCGGGGTGGCTAGAACGTCAGGAGAACTGTTAATTCATAGTATGGTTCACCATGCATGTACAACTGGCAATTTCCTCACTTCCATAGCTGCTTCGGCCAAAACTGCATCATTTGGTAACCACTTTACTGGGGATCCTGTTATGCAAAGTCTGCTGAAGAGATTACCAACTCAAAAGCCATCCTGTCAGAATCACATGACAAGGTTCCAGCGCTGTTTCGAGAAGCCCTTAGTGTGTGCGTTGAACACCACCATTTCCTGGCAACTGCTAAAACTCGGCTCGGCTCGGAAGACGAATTGCAACGACTGAGGAATTGTGGGGTAGAGGGCTGGAGACGAGGGAAGAGAAAGCGGGAATTGTGGTTTAGGTCTGGGAATCTTACCGGAGGGAAGAGGTAAAGTTAGTGACTATAAAGGAGCTGAGATCCGGTAGGATTTGGAAACGGACGAGATTTATGAAGGTCCTTCTACGCTTTTTTTTCGTGCTCGGCCCGAGACTTGATTCTAAGAGGAAATTAACAGCCTTGAAAACAGTGTTTAGGATTTTGCCTAGAAAAAAACTCCAGTACTACGATTTTTGCATTCCGCACTGGGACCCGAGAAGTGGAGTTTCACCAATTGCCTCAACTCATTTTGTTGTTACTTTGAAATAACGATAAGAAATACTATCAGTTGCAGGGGTAAGCCATAAAATCCAGAACCCATCACAAACATCCTGCCCACACCCATGAACTGGATAAGCAATCTCCCAAAGATGTTGATGACTGAACGACAACACTGCTGTGGAGATAGTACGTGAATCGAGTACATGGATCGCATTGCTAGTGATTGAGAGGAAGAGAATAGTATGGAGAAGCGAGAGACGACAGAGAGTAATAAGATTTTGTAATGGCGTGCTGCCCAGGGTAGTGATTGGGGGCTAGTCCTGCCAGTACAGGGAGGACGGGGATTGCCAGCATTTGCGGGAGGGGTGGCATGAAGAGAAAAAAAAATCGCGGAATATTGGAGGGATATAATTGAACCGGTGATTTAGAATGCTTCCTATTGACGACTGGGCACAGCAATGAGGGATCAGGTCGGGTTCGAGCACGAGTTGCGAAAGCATCGGTGGTAGCACGGTGACCTTCACAGTACATATATTTCCCGGATGCAAGGAGAGTTTAAATGATTGGGGTTTTACGGGTTTCACACGGTATGAGCAGGGCATAGAAGATGTGGGGGGGGAGGTGGTAGGGAAGGGGACTTCTTTGTGTTTCGCTTCTTATGTACCAAGTGCTTAAAATTTGTGTATGCTAGTATATATGCGGTCTGTCTGACGATTGAATAAGTATTGGAAAATGTTGCATTGTTGCTGACAAGGTGTAGCGATAAGAGGTAAGAGGAATAGAACAGTCGATTTTGTTTATTTGATATTAGTGAAGAAGCCAAG